TTAGAAGACTTTACCATAAATTATCATTTTTCTTAATAAAACTTTGTTCAGCAAGACTGCGACCAATATGGACTCAATAATTTTTATTTGGGTCCAATTATTTTTAATTTTAAAGTAAGTGACTTTAGAATGAATTTAATTCGCTAACAAATCAAACTTAAAAATTCGTTAAATTTTACATAACTTTTAACTTTTTTTTTATGAAGTGTAAGAAATTATAGTTTGATAGTAATTTTTTATAAATAAAAGAGTCAATGAAATCAATAAAAGTAGTATTGATTTCTAAAAAAGTGAATAAAAATCTTTATAAATTACAGTTTTTACTATTTTTAATGAATTTTCTTCCCTTCTAAAACTAATTTTTGTGCTGGGATGAGAGCCTCTCACTGCGAGTGGTATATATATAAATATATATATATATATTATCAGTAATGGAAATGGGACTGTTTTGTTAACAGTGAAGGAGAGAGAAAGGATGAAGAAAAAATCATTAATTTTTTTCTCTCGACTTTAATTTTAAGGGCTGTGGTTGGTATCCCAGCAATAGTAAATTTTAGTTAAACTTTAATAATTTTTTTTAAGGAAAAAGGAGAAAAAAATGATGAGAAGAAAAGACCTAAGGGGAAGTAGAAAAAAGTGAAGTGTTTTAAATTCATAAATAAATTTTTTTAAAGACAAAACTGAGCCAACTAGGTCAGTAGAATACTTAAAAATTAGTTTGATTTTCTAAAAAATTATAAAGTTATTAAGTTCATTAAATTTATACACTTTTAACATTTTCCTGAATTATAAGATGAAATCATAATTTTTATAGCAATAATTATAAATTAAATACTTCTAAAAAAAGTTAACCTAACAAATGAACCAATCAAGTCACTTATAGTACTTCAATAAAATTTAATTCGCTTAATAAAATTTATATAGTTCATATATTTACACGACTTTTGACTTTACTTACTTTTTTTGAACCGTAAAACATTATAATTATTTATTTACAAAAAAAACAAGTAAAAATTAAATACTCCAATTAAAAAAATTTAACGCAATAAATGAGCCAATTAGGTCACTAAAAAGTACTTTAAATTGGTTTGGTTTGCTACAATATTAAAATTATAAAGTTGAATAAATTCACCCAACTTCAGACTTTTTTTAATGAATTGAATGAAATTATAAATATCTTTAGAAAAGAAAGTAAAAATTAAAGACTTCGATTAAAAAATTTTTGACCTAATATATGGGCCAATCAAGTCTTTAAAAAGTACTTAAAAAATTTGAGTTTCAATAATTAAAATTATAAAGTTGATTAAATTTACGTCTTTTAACAATTTTTTAATGGATAAAAAAATTATAATTATATTTAAAAAAACAATTGCCAATAAATTATTTCAATAGCAATTTCTATTGCAATAAGCGTGCAAATCAAAAGCTGAAACTTGTAAAATATTTTATAAAAACCACATCAACTGCTTAATAATTTTATATTTCTGTAAATAAAATTATGATGAAAATGATTTTTTATATATAAATACTTTAATACTTATTATAAAATTTACTAATATTTCAAACAAAATTATGAAAAATTTTATTTTACTGGGAATAGGTCCCCCACTTGACAAGTTAATTCTAAAGTCTGTATAATTTGTTTATACTGATAATAATTTTTTTTCACAAAAGTTGCCTGCGCTTAAAATTTCCTTAGCATTCACAATTTTTCAAAGAAATTAATTTCACTATGAAATATTTTGTTAACGAAAAAAAATGATAGCAAGCTTCACAGTAAGCTCTTCAGAATTTATAATAAAATAAAATTAGTTTTACTTATTAATTAGTAATAATAAGAAATCTCGTATAGCCAAGCGTTGTAGCACAATCCAGCCAATGTGACGCCAGGAAGTAGTTGTTTTTGGTGTACATATATTTTAATGAAAGCCACTATTTGTATTAAAAGTAGAGTTGCTGGGCACGTAAATTTTAATATATAATATATATCTTACTGCATTATTAATAGGAAGTAAATTATTACGATTATACTTTATTATTTATTATTAAGACAACGAAAAAAAATTTCTCATTAATAAAAATATTTTTTTTAACATAATATATTATTTATGGTTATTATTTTAAAAATAGAAGTAACATAGATCCCTAAGTTCATAATTATACGAAATTTCACTATATAAATTGTAATAAAGAAAGATCCTTAACCAAATTGCAGAAGAGTAAACGCGAAAAGTTACGGGGGCGTGTCAGTGGTTATAATGCGCATTAGAAACTTCTTAATATTTTTGTTAATTTTTTTTTAAATACCTTAAAAATTTTCTTAGATTTACGAGCCAAAAATTTTAATACTTCAATTTTGTGACTCAAAACAAAAGTAACGCTCTAGCGGTTACGCTTATAATAATATTAATTGCTATTACTAGTAAACTTGTTTACTATATTTGCTTCAATATGCATAAATAATATTCTAAAGACGCGCATTATTATTGGTTTTCTTTGATTACTAAAACTACTGTTAAGCGCGCAAATAATACACAGAGAATCTATTATAATGATAGTTAACACCCAATTTATAAAGAACAAACACTTGGATGTTTTGTATAATAACAAATAAAATTTATAAATTAATGACGCAAAAAAAATAAGGAAAGTGTACTATATATTTTAAATAAAAAATCTATGACAGCAAAGAAGTATACAAAATTATATTTCTATTGGTTTTTAACTTTGACTGGCTAAAACAATTATAATAATTCTAGTTGAGCCCAATACAGCGCGAATATGAATAGATAAGAAAAATAAAGAGCGATATACCGGCCTATCGGGTATAAATCATAAAATTTATGCAGTGCAGGTTTACATACGCAGAAACTACGTTAACTTCTAATTAGTAAAAAAACTGCACGTTTTCTTTACTAAAACAACAAAAATAATTTGTTACTGATGTAATCATTTTTTTTAGTAATAAAGTTTTTAAAATTATATATGGTATTATAAAGTATATATATAGGATAATACTGATATCTATTTATAGGAAATTTTTTAAAAGTTTTCAAAAGTAAAAAAAACTAAATCATAAAAAAAGAAGCTTCATAAATATATTTATCAAAGACTTTTATTAAATTTTTTTACGTTATAAAAAATATTATAGTAAAGTTTAATAATGAAAAGAATTATCATCGTCTACAAAAAAGTTATATATATTATAATAAAAAGTATTTGGAAATATATAAAGTATATATTTTTGTAAGCACAAAAACATGTTATTAACCAATTAAAATCTCCGAACATCGTGCGCTTTTCATAACTTCGTCACAAACACGTTTTTCTTGAGTCAGTAGTGCAAGCCCTCCAGAGGCCGCACGGGCACACGCTGCGTCATCACTGCCTTATTATTGTATAGTTTCTTATTATTTATTCTTATTATTATTGTTATTAATATAATTATTATTACAAATATTTAATAACTATTATGGATTTTAATATTAATATAATTATATTAAAAATATTATTATTGACTTAAAAATTTATTTATTAATACTATTAATATAATTTTTTTTATCGCTATTTATTATATTATTATTATATATATTATTATTTAAATATATTATATTACTGTTATCTTTAATATTATTGATATTATTATTATTTAAAATTTGATTTAATATTATTAATATAAATTTTATTATCGTTAGTTATTATATTATTCGTAAATATACTATTTAAATTTATTAAATAATTGTAATTATAAAAATATTATCATTTCATTATAGTTAATGTTATTTTATTGTTATTTTTAATTTTATTAGTAGTAGTACTCGTTTTATTATTACTAAAATAAATATTATATTTAGTATGTTTTATGTTAGTATTATACTTGATAGTAGTAATATTACTTTATTAATATTATTATTAACGGTATTGCTTTGATATAAAACATAATTATACAAAGTTACAAAAATAATATTAAATATATATAAAATTGTGAAGAAGGTAAAATATAGAATAGTAAAAAATTGAAATAAGTTTTTTATTGCAAAAAAGCTAATAATATTTAAAATATTGTATAAAATATATAATAAATTATGAGCAAAAAAATATTAAATAAATAACATAAAAAATAATGAAATTATATCAATTAAAATAAAGAAATAAATATAAATAAATAATATATGTAAAAAAATAAAATATATGTAATTGTTACAGAAAAATATATTAATAATTATTATATTTTAATATTAATAATAAAGGTATATAAAAAAAGGTTTAACAAATAGTAAATAAAAAATAAAATAAACAAAAAATTCTGTAATTCATATAAATAAAAATTTTGATAAAAAAAAATGAATTCCTTATAATAATAATATCAAGTAGTAATGAAAACTACAAAATATATAAAGCATTAATAAAAAAAATAATATTATATAAAAACTTATTTAAAAATAAAATAATAATAACTTATAAAAAGAGGAGACACAAGAAATATATAAAAATTAATATAATAATATACTTTTTTTAAAAAATTAATAATAATAATCAATATATGTGTAATAATTTTTAAATAATATTACAAAAATAATGATAAACTTAAAACAGATATAAAAATATTTATAGTTTTCCGATTTAAAAAATACAAAATTTTGAAAAACAATAACAAATAGGAAAAAAAAATTTATTCTCTAAAGACATAGAAAATATACATACAAAAAACATTAACTGGTAATAAAAATAATGTATCTCTCCAAAAAAAGTATATTAATAATGAAAATGATAAAAATAAACAACAGCTTCATATAAAATTGAAAGAAAAAAATTGTGAATAAAATATAAAAAATTAACATCTTTAAGTCCTTATGGGGGCCCCCACTATAAGGCTTATGGCAAGGTAACAGTTGCCGCGTGGTATTTACAAGTGTCCTTGTACCACATGTCATTAAATCAAGTCATACTACGTAATTAAATGCCTTCTTTTATAATGCATTTCCCCCCACCCCCAACAACTACAAAATTTTATATAAAAAAAATAAACCACACAAAAAGAGCCACAGAAGAATATCTTGAAAACGCGTGCCAGTCTCTTGAACGTACATAGAAAATATCTAGTGAAAAAATTATATTATGACTATTATTAATGTTATCACTATTATTATTGTACTTCTGGTTCGTAAAGTAGGTTGCACAAGCATTCGGTGGCAGCTCTTTGAATGAGCTCACAATCATCAGTTTGAAGGTAAGCAATTTTACTGACGCCGTCCTCATAAAGAATCTTTTTCCTAACTTTATTATTATTAAAAAATATAGTAAAGGAATTTTTTACATTCACAAAAATATAAGGAATCGATAAACCAATAAAAAATTGCACTAGCGCGTAAATTAACTAATAGGAGACTTAGTAATGCGGTGCTGTCAAATGAACATGCGTTCAGGATTTGACTTATAGTATTATTGCCCACCAACTTAATAACAAATATTAAAGATTCATAAGTACTGTTGAGCTAAAAAAAATTCCATGTGCCCAAAAAAATTATAACTGATAAATAAAAAACTTCATAATAAGAATAATAGTTAAAAACTCACTAAAAATATTATTATTAAAATGATATTTGAACAATTAATAATATTAAAAGGTATGTGATTAATAAACTTTTAACCAATAAATAATAGACTTTATTATAATCATAATAATTACAAATTCACTAAAAATAATGATGCATTTAATTAGTTCATGTCTGGTTTCTATTATTTTAAAATAATACACTTAGTTTAAAATTTACATACTTCATAAAAAAGCAGTTATTAAAAATGTCTATTACTGAAATTTACTATAATAAAAAATTTCAAAGAAAACAATGAAAACTATCAAAATAATAATAAATATTCCAAAAAAATATATATTAGAGCGCAAAAACTTTTAGACAAAGTATATAAAATAATGAAACGCCTTCGCGCTCTAATAAGCATCATCACTAGAGCAGTTAATAATTTACTGCATAAATTTATAGTTATTAGCTCAACATCAATTTTAAAAAAATTATTACGATTTCACTGCAAACTGACATGCTTATAGCTCCTTTTGACTGGTCAAAATAGAACTGTTAGCTAATCACAATCGATATTAAATTGTTTCATAAATTAATATTTACAAAATTTTAATAAATTTAAATTTTTCTAACCTAAAATCTTTAAATATAATAAAAAATACAAAAATATAAAACTATTTTTAAAGAAACAACATTTTTTAATGTAATATGAATTTTTATATAATTTTAAGAATAAAAATTTAATAAATAAAATTTTAATGGTAAAAGTAGAAAATTGTCAAAATTGTGCAAAAGACCAAAAAATAACGACAATTTATTTTTTTATATTAATTTTTATATAAAAATTGGGAAATATTAAAAATTTACAAATTATTTTTGTTATAAAAAAAAAGTAAAGTTCGTGATTATTTGTGCAGCGCTATTTTACAAGTGAATATATGAAAATTTTTTCAACTTAATAAGCTCCAAATAAAATTAAATGCCGCCATTATTAAAAAAACAATACTCTATATAAGACAAGTGAGGAATAATCAGTAAATGGGCACAAAATACAGCTCATAAAGCAAATTAGGTGCTTAAAAGAATTAATTAGAGTCCACTAAAAAATATAAGCAAAGTAGCCAATAGTTAACCTTCCTCTGATTCGGCGGACAAATTAGTAAGAGCCAATAAACTTTCGAAAATTTGTAGTTCATGTTGAGCGTCCAATAAACGTATAAACGGTTTCACCTTCACAATTTTTTTCATTAATAATTTTAAATGAAAAAAAAAGACTCGACATAACATTATTTGCTTAAAAGTTTTTCTTAAAAAAAATTATTAAAAAAAATTAAACAAATATAAAATAATAAATAAATAATAAAACTTGAAAATTTTATTAAATGGTATAAACCAATAAGCAGGAAAAAAATTAAGTAAAAAGTTTCAGTATATTCGTTCATCGAAATATAATAGTTTATACAAACAAGTGTTATTATCATTATTATTAATGTACAAATATAAAGTAATAGGAAGAAAATAAAGTAAAAAGTATTGTTTTCATTAGAATACCACAATTTATACTAAAAAATTATTACTATTAACATTATTATCAATGACCATAAATAAAGCAACAGCAAAGTAAAAAAGGTGTTCCATTAAAATATCAAAATTAAATAAAATATTATCATTATTAATGTACATATATAAATATAGAAAGGAAAAAATTAGTAGGATCATAAAAACTTTTAAAGTATTCAAAAATGAATTAAACCGATAAGCAGAAAAATTAATTTATTTAAAAAAATATATATTAATTGTTTAGTATTTTGTAAATAAAATTATAATTATTTATACAAAAAGGTTATAATAAAGTTATTATTACAATATTTTTCTTTTCTTTAGAAAATTTTATAATAATAAGATAATAAAACGTTAAAAAAGATATATTCACAACATGAGTAACAAAAAAAATATAAAATACGATACGGAAATATATTGAGTACTATATTTATAAAAATGCTATAAATTATATTATTAATATTAAATAGTTTCAATAAATAATAATAAATAATAAGTAAAAACGATAGATGGTAAGGAATGAAAAATGTTTCATAAAAAGTATTGAAAACAAGAATATTCAATAAAAAAATTGTAAAAAAATAGAAGAACATAAAAAAAATGTAGAAATACAATAAATAAATGAGGATGTATAAATAATAATAATAATAGCGTGCCATAAATATATAAACTTAAGCACGAAAAACAGCACTCAACAGTCGAGCAGGAATTACGCATTGATTTAAAATGGGAAAAAAAAATTGATTTTTTATTTATAATGGTAGAAAATACCAACTCGACCGATTGTTGGCCTGGGAAAACCAAGCGAGGGTCAGAAGTTACAGCAATTTTTGCTAGAGACTGTGCGGCTATATTCATAACTTCGCTACGTCCACTAATTGTTATGATTATGATTATTATTTTAATTATAATTCTTTATTTATTATAAATATTATTTATTTTCAGAGTTTAGACACTTATTAGCAATGTCGAGTAGTGGCAAATGCGCGCCGCGGGCAACCATGAGCCCCCTATATTTAGTGTCTTCAGCCACTGTCATTAAAATTCTTGCAATGCATTCCCTGATATTCTCGCTTACTTTAGCAACCTATAAAAATTGAAGTATAAGGCCTTTAAACTAATAATAAACAGTGCCCGAAATATGCTTTTTTATAACAAACAAAGCCACCAATCATTATCTAAAAGAATATTCAAATAAAATATTGACCATCAGTCACCTTTGAAACATGCACAAGTAAAGAAAGTAAATCGTGTTCAACGAGATGAAAAGTTCTTTTTTTAACATACTCCGTTTGGTCATACACGTGGTCCTAAAAAATAGTGATATCAATCAGCGATGTTTATATAGCAAAAAAGAGGACGAACCAAATAAGTTTATAATAATGAAGAAAAAAATATACTTCTGGAATATATTCCTTTGCAAGGCGTGCAAGTTCGATATATTTTTTTTGTTCTTCAGTCAAAGTTTTTTTCGGATGGCTATTGGTTACATTCTGAATAATCTTTTTTCAACAAAAATAATGTCAAATAAAAAATTTAATATAAAAAAAGAAATTATACGCAAAAAACTTTTATAATAAATTTATTGCACTAATTTGGAGAGAAGTTTATTGGACGCAGTAACAGCAGTAACCTACAAAGCGCGTATAAAAGTGACAAACCAGGCGAACAGAATGGCACGCAATAAATAACGTATTTTAAAATTTATTAGCCACTCGATGATTGAATAAGTGACAAATAAGAAATAAGCATCATAATAGATGATCCACCAAGAAAAACTAGCCCACGAATCATTATGCTTTTTTATACCAAATCCACCAATTAGTATATTTTTCTAGGGAAATTAATTCATTAATAACATAAAATACATATTTATCGATCATTAATGCATAAACTTTTGTTAATTTTTACTAATTTTTTTATAAAACTGATAAATTTTAATATAAAATTCTCAATTAATACTACAGTATAAATTTTTTTCCTTCATTATATAGCTTTTTAAATATTTTTCCGTGTATTATTTAATAAGAAATTCTATAATTAAAAGCTATCTAATAAAATTTATTTATGTCATAACATAAAGAATTTATTTATTATAAAATATTTTTATTACAAATTTCTAGTGACTGAAAATTTTTTTCATTATAAAAATTTTTACTACTCCACAACTCTATATAACTCTATAATGTTTTTCATTTATTTTCATTATATATATACTAGAAAAAAAAGTATTCGTTGTATTATATTTCTCATTTATTTTTAATAATATACAAAAAAGATTAACTTTTTTATTTGTGTATATTTATTTTAATATAGTTAAATATAAAAAGTTACTATTGATATGGAATAGAAAGTTTTAGTTATTTTTTTTACTTCCATATAAGTAATATAACATATTTACCGCAAAGTAGATATGAAGTTTAATGATAGTAAAAAATAAGCTAATAAAAAGTTTTTGTCACGTGGCTTCCTTTTACTAAAAATCAACTTTATAAAAAAGTTTTTAAAATAAGATGTAAATTACGCATTTTTTAAGTTTTTGGTTTATATCATTCAGTAAAGTTTTAAATAAAATTATAATTTCTCATTAGAACTATAGCTTGACAATAAAGAAAATGTTATATATATTATATATAATAAAAAGTAAAACTTCTCCTCACATATAAAACTCACTATTTATTTCTAAATATTAATTCATTAAATTTAATTATTCGTGCATTAATTAGTACTAATATAAATAGCCAATCAGCCGTTTATTCCAAAAACTAACAAGTGTTTAATATTCTTTATTATTATTCAACACTACAACTTTTAAAATATTTTCCAAATTATCATAAATGTATTAATTTCATGTGGTAGTTATAGAAATTTGGTTTTTTAGTGAATGACATTTATTTTAAAATTCGTATATTAGTAGCAAAACATCATTGTTCTGGTATATTAGATACAAAATTCGATAAATTTACTAATTATTTGTAAGTTTTACAATTATTCAAAAAGAACCAATCATTTTCTTTAACAAAATTTCTTTGGATAACTGAGTATTTATTTGACGATAAAACAACTAATTAAACATTTACTATAATTCTTATTACTAATCAAAATTATTATTATTATTATTATTATTATTATTATTATTATTATTATTATTATTATTATTATTATTATTATTATTATTATTATTATTATTATTATTATTATTATTATTATTATTATTATTTAAAAAATAACTATTTTTTATTAAAAAATGTACTCACAGAAATAGCGGAATACAGTTGAGCTCGATTCGTACAAGTCATTCCATATTTGATTAGAGAGTTTATGTAGGTCTCATGCCTAACAAACTTTTAATAAGGCATATTATAGTGAATGAGTTATAGTGAATCGCAAAAATATAATAAACTTCTTCTTTCATTTCTGCGTTGAGCGTTAAATACGCCAATCCTTCAAGAGTTAGACGAGTTATATTCTTTTAAAAATTGTTCATTAAAAATAATAATTATCACATAATTATAAAAATAATAAATCATTTATATTAATAAAATATACTTTATCCGTATTTTCTACTAAAAAATAAGAAGTCCGTTGAAACAGTTTTTTTAACTTTTCATTGGTAAATGCTTCTACCCTTAAAAAAATAAGCAAAAAAAAGTAAATAATGAAATCTCAAAAAAAATTTTAAAATGAAAAATATTATAAAAGGAGAAAAAAATATATAATAAAGTATATGATAAAAAAAATAAGGAAAGTTCGTAATATATATTTATTATGCAGATTGTTACTATCAAAAATTACAAATTATTATAATATTTACTAACGAATAAAAAAGAAATTAATAGTCAAAAAATAAAATCAGTAAAAAGTTCTAATGTTTTCAGTATAAAACAACACAAAAAAGGGGAAGCATACAAATTTGGGGGTAATAATAAAATTTAAATATATTTTATTAATGTTGGAGTAAATCTAATAAATCATGTGCTCATACCACGTGGTACGTATACCGTGTGTTCTTATATTATGTGTGCACCACATGCCCTTCTGATAAGATAACACGTGACTAAGTCGTGCGTGATAGCGTGTGATTCAATGTTTGTCTTACATTTTACGAAATTTTGGAGGTATAATACGCTTCCTCTACGGAACAATAATTTGATTGCTCCTTTTCTCTTTCTCCAAAAATTTTTATATCAAAAGTTATAATCGCTATTATTATTATAATAAACTAAATTTCCTTAAATGTTATTAAAAAAAAGGGACTATATAATATTTATTGAAATAATATATAAATTTAAAAAAAATAATATTCCCGCAAAATATTTACTAAAAAGTTTTCGTGTTTATACCAAAAAAATTTGTTATAACAGTAACATTCTTTTAGTTTTTTTTCCTTAAAAGTTTACTATCATTATTATAGTAGTAAACTACATTATAATAAACGGTATTCATTTAGATTATTTTTATAATGAAAATTAAAAATATAAAACATTACTTTTATTTATATAATTCTATATAAAAACATACAATAAATCTCTAATTATAATAATTTCTTTCAGTATATTTGTTGGCTATATAATAGCCAATCAAATAACTGATATATAGCAAAGCTGCTCTACAATTGTGTTATTTTTAAAGAAAATAATCAATAGATAAAAATAAAGAATAACAAAAAAGTTAGTATTATAATAAAAATATTAAAAACAAAAAACTTTAAAAGCCCTGTCAAACACTGAATGTTGTTGGCTTATAAAACTTTAAGTAAGAAAAATAATGGTCTTCCTCCTCATTTTAAAATATCACTTTAACGTTTAACAATGAACTCAAGCTTTTTAACCAAAAACTTTAAGGCTTATAAAAAGTAATGAAAATATATATAAACAGGTTGGTACTGATATTTGTTATTACTCGGTAACTTTTACGAGAACATCACGTGGTAGAGTAGTTTTTTTAAATCAAATTAAAAAGTAAAAAAATCTTTTTATATTTGCTTTAAAGAAATACTTAATAATTATTTTTTAAAAATAGTGAATAACGTTAAAATAATAAAGAAACGATACAACCATCAAACAAATTATAATAAACTTTACATATAAAAAAATGCTCATTTAAGTTTTTATATATAAAAACAAAATAACGAAAGTTTACATATAAATATATAATATAATAGTGAAGTTATAATGAAGAATAAAATTATAATAAAATGTTAATAATTATAAAATTGCATAAACATTAAAAATTAAAAAAAAATTACTGAAAATTGAACAGATTCAATTATTTTTATGATTATAAAAATAATTCAGAATTTCGATTGGTCGGACATGTTTAAAGCCTTTCTTTAGTTGGCACAAAATATTTTTATAAAAAAGGATACCCTTTACTTTTCCTTAGAAAAGTTGAAACTTTAGCAAGTACAACAGCTGCTCTTATTGATATTGCATTATTTTCACTATTTAGCAGGATCTCCAATAGAGGAAGGCCTTACATTGATATTATTACTTTAATTATTATCATTACTCATAAAATTTACTGTTACTTGTTATTAATTTATTTTTATAATTTTCTTAAAATATTCATTATTTTTAAGAGTACGTAATATTTATTTTTTACAAACTATATATTTTGTACCATCTTTTTCATATTTAAGGTTACATAGTAATTATTTAAATTATTCATTAATAAAAATATTAATATTATTGTTGCTTTTTTCTTTATAACCTCAAACTTTTTTATCAAAAACCCTAAAGTTTTACTATTATATAACTTTTTCTTCAATTCAAATATTTTTAATATATAAAGTTATTAAACTACTTTCTCATTATTTTATTATAACCTTCAGTAAATAGAGCATCATTTATTTCTTTGCTATAAGCTGCATAGGAAAGTGCCTCGAGGGCCAAGCATTGCTCTGTAGCTTTTTTACTTTGAAGACTTTTTACTATCGTACTGATAAGAGAATTCTATTAAAAGTAAAAAAGAAGAAAACTTTTATTTTTTTATAAATATTATTATTATTAGTAAAGTTACATAAAGTAATTATAGAGCCTTCAATTTTTTTTATTAAGAAAAACTGTTATTATCAAAGTTGCTTGACTTCATAAAAAAGTAAATAAAAACTTTTATTTGTAAAAAAAATTATTAGTATTATAATTATTAAAAGTTAGTTTTGATTATTATTACTATTATTAGTTATTTTTCATAAAGTAAAAATAAAACTTCCATTTTCTTGATAAAAAAATAATATAATTAATAATTATTATATTTAAGTTGCATAACTTTTAATAAAGTAAATAAAAATCTCAAAATATTATTATATAAAAGTTACTTAAATTCATAAAAAGCAAGTAAAAATCTCTAATTTAATAAAAAAATTTATTATCATTATAAAAGTTGCACAATTTCAAAAAAAGTAAATAACGAACTCTTTATTATAGTAAACATATTATTACCACAAAAGTTGATTATAAAGTAAATAACAAACTATTATCATAAAAAAAAAAATTATTATTATTGCTATAAAGTTGCATAACTTTTTATAAAGTAAATGAAAAACTCTCGTTTTCCAATAAAAATATTATAGTAGCGTTATAATCCTAATTGTTATTAAAGTTGCTTGATTGGATGTTATATAAAAGCTGATATATATAAAGTTTTATTAAAAGTTTGGTTTTATAATTATAATTATTATTATTGTTATTATTATTTTTTATTATTGTTGTTATTGTTATTGTTATTATTATTCTATACAATAATAAAAAAAGATTCTTTTCTTTAGTTTTTTAGAATAATAATTAATAATAAAAAAATAAAGTTATAATAACTTTTTTAGAATATTATTATAAAAAGAGATTATTTTTATGAAATATAAAACTTTATTAAACGTGCAAAAACTAAAACTACCAATGAGTTTGTAGTAATCCACGATTATTATGTATTTTTCCTATAATGTAATAAATATTTTTATTTAAAGTTTTAATAAATAAAAGTATACTAATTTATCTTTTTATATTATATTTAACTTTTATTATTATATAAATCGTTTGTAATAAATATTATTCGGATGAACATTTTTAAATTATACATTATTATATAAAATTCAATGTATTTTTATCATATCGTATATAATATTTAGAAAAAATAATTAATATTTAAGTTTTTTATAGTAAATTTAATTATATTGATTTTTATTTTTTTCATTAGTAAAATTAGTGCTAAACTAAAAATTTAAAACTCTATTACTTCCAAATTAAATTCATTATAAATATAAATTCCCTTTTAGTTACTTTATTTTTTTATTAATGGCTGAAGTTGAGTCAAAAAAAATAATGAAAAAAATAAAACCTGTTGAATAACATAAACGCCCAATGAAAGAGAAGAGGAAAAAGCGAGTAAAAGTAGTTGGAACCCGCATAATTTCTTTGATTCCGTAGAAGAATGCATAGCTTTTGAAAATAATAGTAATTAATAATAAAAATAACAATTTTTTTTCTTGTACTTCATAAAAAATTTGTAAAATATTTTTTAAAGAGAGCTGAGATATTAGTATAAATCTGAAAATTCTTATTGGTTTACATAAAAATAATAGCTTTACGAATGTTGGAACTTCTAAGCAACCAATAAAAGGCTTTTTTAAAAGTTTGAAATTATATGCTGCGAATGAGAAATTATTAGTTGAACTTATTATATCCAATCAAACGTTTTTAAGGAGTATCTGAAGTGAACAAATTCCGTCCCCTTTTTTGATTAATCTCCAATAAAAAACTTTTATTTATCTTAATATAAATAATACAAAGTTGTCCCGCCAAAGTAAAGTGCCCTGGTTAGCTAACCAACCCATATACCGTTATATAATTGGCTTACAAGTCTTTTGATAGGCTCTCGACCCGTATAAACACGTTAGGCATTATAAAATGAATAACTTCCTCATTCCACTAATATCTAAAATTGCTTTCACTATAAAACAAGCTAATGTCATAAAAAAGTAAGCTTTACATAAAAAAAAGTTCGAGCCTACTAAATTTTGAAAATTTTTTCAAATGAACCCAAAAATAAAACAACAATAAAATATTAACCATTCACGATGGCTGTTTTCATTCTTTCTTTGAATTGATTGGTCACGTCATCATTCGACTCAACAATAGTTTCGTCTTTGAAAATTACTTCAATTATCTGGCTAAAAATCGCCGCAATTTTTATAGAATTAAATTCAAAGTCGCCTCTACAAGAAATATAAAGAAATAATGTGTATCCTCACGAACACGTGATTAACCAAAAATGTAAAAAAGTTTTTTATTAACACGTTATAGTATATCTATTTATATTACTTTCAAGCTAATTTTTATATAATATTTATGTTGAAACTATCATTAATTTTAATGAATATAAATTAAAAAATTCATTATATAACCTTTCAAGTCCGAAATGTAAAATATTATCCAATAGAGAATCTAAAGGGCCTTCTTTAATAAATATGTAGACATTCTCTTCGTTTAGAGAGCACGCAATGGTATTGCATAAGCCACTCAGGGCTTCTAGAATTAAATGAAGTAAATATTACATGAATTTTATAGATATAAATAAACTAAAAAAGGGTCATTCAATAAATTGAAGTATAATGAAAAGGCCTTTTTCTTTGCTTTCGAAAGCACGGGCTAAAGAATCCACCCCAGCGCTATATAATTCTACTAGAAATTCAAAATCTGTAGAATTTTTCATTTAAAAAAATGAATCACTTACTAGCCTACAATGAAATTATAAAAAAAACTTTCATTAGAATTATGTATAAAAAAAAATTATTGAAACAAGCATGCGTTATACATATTTTATACATCATCTATTATTATTAACAAGTTTATAAAGTTCATAAGAAGTTCTTCATTATAAAAACAAAAGAAAATTCACAATAAATAATGATTACGTTGTACCCAACTTTTTTTATATTATTGCTTTACTTATTTATATTTACTACTGCAATATATATAAATAAAATATATAAAACTTTCTTTTCATTAATAATACGCATTAACTTTATTAAAATTCATTAAAAAGTTAGCATTTCAATATTTTGCTCTACGAGAACTTTAACGATACCTTCACAGCGACTAGCAAACTTTATAAAAAGTGCTGAAGCTCCTTTCCGTATTATCGGCATTTCACTATAATTTATGTATAATAAAAATATTAAAGAGAATAGTAAAATAAATTTTTTTAATAAACCTCGAAAGCCAATCAAAAAGGAATTCTTTCACTTGAAAATAAACATTTTTATAAGAGCCAAAGGAAACCAATAAGGAAAGACCTTTAAATCAAGAAACTCAAAAAATTGTTATTGTGTTTTCCCTAATGCTAACTTTTACTAAAGATTCTTTCATTAAAAAATAATTACTAAACTTTCATGCCACGTGACAACCCTAAAAAATTTAAAACTAATAGAGGGTAGGGCAGGGATTTCTTTATAGTAAAGCGTTAGTCAACGTATTGCTTTTGCCCTGAGCTATTATTCATATCTTTTTGGGTTTCTTACTTTAATGAAATTTTGGGGGGCCCTCGATACATATATATCGCTTTTTTTTATTGTGGCATCCAAAGCAGTGTTTTTATTGGTCACACTGTAACTGTACGCGCCACCAAAAACCAAAAAAAAAATTCTATTAATAATTTTGCTTGAAATATCTTTTTAACTTTTTCCAAACAATAAAATCTCCTTTTTTTAAACTAAACTGTAATATAATATTTTCTTAAAAGTTTATTATTTTACTAAATTATTTAATAATAATATCATGAACACTATTTTTTATAATAAGGAAGATATAATGATTAGAATTATTTTTACTGTTATTATAATGAAAACCTTCCAAAGCTCTTTGCAAAAGCTCCTTATCGGAGTCCAAAAATTTGTATCGACCTTTTCGAGATTCAGTCACGTGGTTTTCGATAACTGATAAAAACACTGAAACGGTATTTTGTTCCAGTAAAGAATCGATCTTTATTTACAAAAAGTAAAAATACGTAAACTTGCTGTACAAATAAAAAATTATTATCAATAATTATTGAGAATTAAATTCTTTAAAGCTGTTTATTTTTATAATTAAATAAAAAGGAGTATTCAATAGTCTATTCACATAAAGATAATAGAAATTTACCTCACGAACAACAGTAATGTTATTATATACACTGATAGTTTTTTAATGTATAATACTTTAATAAAATGAATTATTATAATAAATTAATAAATAAAAAAAGCTCGTCTTCACTACTTTAATAATATAATACTTTTTAAATATATGTAAATTTACTGCTCGAAAAAAATATATATAGAAAACTGATAATAATAATTTTATTTTTATTTATATTACTTTAATTAAGTGAATAATTAATAATAAAAAGTCAAATTCACTATTTCAAATGTATAATATTACATAAAAATAATAAAAACACATAAACTTTTTTTTTATTATATACCAATAAATAATCTTATTCTTTTCATAATTAAAAAATGGATTATAATATTAAAAATACTAATGAAGAGCGTTCTTCATTAAATTGCTTACACGCACTATTTCTTATAATAAATTTCTTGAAAATTATTTCATAAGAATAAGTTTTATCTTAACTACAGCTTGGTATTTATCTAAAAAAAATAATAAAAACAAATATTTATAGAAGTATAAACATTTTGTTTTATTCATTTATAACTTTCGTTATAGTACTCAGAAAGAAAAGTTATTTTATAATAGAAAAGTAAAAAAAATTCATAAATAAGTATAAGTAACTTATTTTTCCTATTAATAATTTATATTTTATTATTATAAAAAAGAAATCTCACAAAAGTTTATAAACTAATGATAAACATTTTGTATTATAAAAATGATAACTTTTTTTAATGGAGAATTAAATATAAATTTATTCATTCAAAAAAAAAGCATCTCTATTCATTATAATAAAGTATTTTTTTATAATAATCGGATTTATAGAAAAGAAAGTTTCTAAAACTATAAAAAACATTTAAATAATAAAAATATTAAAGTTTCATTTTTTTTAAACATTTTTGTTATTTATTTTGCATTTTCAAATTTTATATTATTAATATAATAATTTCTTATTGCGATTAAATATTGTAAAAAAATTACTTTTTTCTATTGAAAAATTTATATCACTTTTATGACTTATATAAATGTGCAAAATTATAAATTAGAAAATATAATAAAAAAAAGAAAAATAATAAAAGTTCCTATAAAAATATATTTTATAATATAACAAAATAATAATAATAAATAAATTGCAGAGAACATTCCAGTTTGAAAAATAATAATAAAATACTGATAACATATAGTTTACTGTTCATGTTAAAGTTAATAATAAAACTTTATTTTTAACAAAATAATAAAATTTTTAATATTAAAATATAAAAGTTACTATAATATTATATATTTATAGAGTATAATAACAATAATAATAATAAAATAATATCGAAACGAGGTATGAAATAGTTTTTATAAAATACTATTAAATGTTCAACGAATTTATGTTTAATTTCTGATTGGTGCCGAAGTATAAAAGATCATAATAAATTTTGAAAAGAAGCTTTATATAAAATTACAATGACTTTAAAAGTCGAGCGATAAAAAACTTAGTAAATTCATATATTATTTAAAAATAATTAAAAAAATATAAAAGTTAACGACTTTTTATACTATAAAAGTAGTAGATTTCTATAATATTTTAAAAAAAATAAAAACGTTTTAAAAACTTTTAAAAAAAATCTTATAATATAAATATAACAAAAAATAAGTAATTGAAAAAAATTGAAAAGCTTATATAATAAAAGTATTTTTAAAAGTAATAAATACAAATTTCAATAATAAAATAAATATAAAGTTTAGGAAAACTATTAAAAATAATAATAAGCTTGTATATATAAATTTACTTCTTTATTACTTCTAAGCAAAACGAGTAAATTTCCAATAGCTTGATTCTTTATTTCCGGAGTAACAGAAGCCCCTTTTATAATGAAATATAATAAAAATAAAACTTTGAAGTCTTAAAGAAAATTCGTTACTAAATAAAAATATTTTAATGTAAGAATTAAAAACAAAATAAAAAACAAAATTTATAAATTTATTATAATAACTTAAAAAAATTAAAAACGCTATAATTAAAGTTTAATTCTAAAATTAACATGTATTATATTTTATATTCAAAATAAAGAAATATGAAGTACATTAAAAAAATAAAATTATAAAACCTATTGCATAATCAGGAACTTTTCCTTGTAAAATTAGCAAAAAGTCTGACACGGATCCTAACATTAAGATTAATTTGATAAAAAAATTATGTAAACGAAAAAAAAAAAAAGTTAATATTTTGTATGAAAAGTTAAAAACATTTTATTAAGTTCATTAGAAATTACAAAAAAAATTATTCTGATGATAAATATTTGATAAGTTTTGTGAAAGTGAAAAAGATGATTCACTTATGGTTTCTATACTTCATTAAAAAAAATTTTAAGTTTGCTACGGTCAATTATGAGAACTTTAAGTAAAATAATAATAGCAGTAATAGTTTAGGTGTTCTTGAAAATTCTAATAAAAAATTTAAAAAAGAAGTCATTGCATTATTTTTTAAATCAATTACCGAAGCTCGACTATAATATGTATAAAAGATTTATAAGAAATTAATATAATGCAAAAATATGAATTTCATAGAAAAAAATCTTATTAAAATATTGTAGAATAAAATATTTTAAAACTTAGTAAGATTCTATAAAAAAATGATTAAAAAAATAAATATTTTAAAAAATTTCAAATAAAATTAGGATAAATCTTAAAAAATCTTACAACACAAAAGCTCAATTATAATAAGCTTAATATATTTAAAAAAAATTTATATGATAAAACAATTTTTCTGAGTTTCATACAAAAAATTTTAAAAGAATTTTATACAAGTAAATAAAATACTCCAAAAAAAACTTTGAGTTATTAATAAAAAAAGAAAAATGAAATAAAAGCAAAATTTAAAACTTGAAATAATCATTTCTATAAAAAAATAATATAACCTTCAGAAGAAATCTTTTGTAATTTACTAGAAACTCGAGCAGCCGCTTCTAACGCCGCTTTGTTTTTCGAATCAATTTGCAAGAGCCTTTTTAAATCTCGAAAAGCTTCAGCGTAGCGAAAATTCAGCTCCTGAGCCTGAAAAAATTTTTATATATAAAAAGATTTACTATAATCATAAAGAAATTTTAAAAAAATAAAGGTATAAAAAGTTTTTTGTTTAATATTTATTTAAAATTAAAAAGTGGAAAAAAAAAGAATATGAAGACATGAAGAAAATATTTCTATATAATGTATTTAATTGAGAAAAGTATAGTTTTTTCATACACCAGACTCCATTATTAATAAAAACAAAAATTAAATAAAAAAAAGTAATAATCGTTAATAACTTTGCTATATTAAATTCATTAAAATATCAATAAAAAATGCAACACCTATAGGAAAACAAAAATGTTTTAACGTAGAATATTTAAAAATAAGATATATATATATTAAAAAGAGATTCTTTAAATAAAATTGTAGACTAATTTTTTTAACTATAGAGAAATTTAGATTTGTATAAACAAGTTCCCTCTATTTATAAGAAACAAAATAAAATGTTAAATACGAACATAATCATGCCAGTATATAAAAAATTATATCAAAGTCTAATAAGTTTGCCCCAAATTTCAGTAAAGAAGCGTTGACGGTCAACATTTATTCAACTAATTAAAAAATTCCAAAGAAGTATAATAATGAAGTAAAACTTTTTTTTAAGTTTCATATAAAACTGAACAATTTTATCTGCTCCGCTTAATTATAATGTAATCTAATAAGAAAACATAATGAAGTTAAAAAAAAGTTGTATAACTATAGAATTAAATAAATCCCTTTAGCGTAGTAGTTAACATTCGCTTAGCAATTTTACCTGCTTCGCTTAATTAAATTATTTTCAGGAAAAAAAATTTACGAAGATTAAAAAATTTGTATTACTAATAATTTGTCTAAAGCTCTCTTGTGTAGTATTAACCATTCGCTTAACAGTTATCTCTGCCTCGCTTAACCAAACTTATTATAAAAGATAAAAGGGAATTTAAGAAGTCTAGGCAGAAATCTAAAGAAATTTGCTAAATACTAAAAACATAGTTTTTTAAAGGTTTGCTAAATCACTTACAAAAAACTATTTTATAACTTAAAAAAAATGGTTCAAGTTTAAAATGGTTCACTTTTAAAACTTTTCTTAAAAAAAATTAAGTAATGGGAGATTCAAAACAGGCAACCAACAATTGTGGAAATAAATTATTTGCACTATTTCTTTTTTTTTAATAATGAAAAGTAAATATCAAGCAAAATTAAACTCCAATTTATATTTCAAAATATTAGTTTCAAATTACGTAGTATAGTATTACTGTAAAAATTATTAAAACTATTTGTAAAAATTTAACAACTTATTTATTTACTTCGGCTCTCGAAAACTTATTAATTTCAGAACCTTCATTTATTTACTTATTACCGTAAAATAGAAAAGCCTGATAACTCCCTTGAAGAATTTCGAAGGAAAATAAACATTGTTGTACAAAATAATTATAAAAACTTATTTTTACTTTAGAATTATAATTACAAAAAATAATGATGTATATAAAACTCGTAAGATTAGCCCCTATTCATTTTATAATAAAAAAATTAGTAAAATTTTTTATATTTTTTATATGTTATAAATCTATTTTAAGATTTTAAAATTTGCACACTTTTTTTATTAACTTTAAGTAGATCAGTTACTGAAAATATAAATAAGTTTGAAAAAAAATTTCTAACAAAATTTTAATCTCCTTTGAGCAGCAAATAGGAAATTCTTTTAAAAACTTTTTTATATAAATACAAAATGAATTGATTATAATTCTTGGCTTAAGTGTGCAACACAAACCCGAATAGTTTTTTTTTCATCTTTTAGTAAACGACTGCATTAGAAAAAGATTTTGAATTAATAATATCAGTTTTATTTTTACTGGAAAATTATTTAATGTTATTAATATAAGAGGACCAGTTTCAGTTTGGCTAAAATATTAGAGTTAAATTTTTATTTATCTAAAAAATTAAAAAACTTTAGAAACCAAATTAAACAAGTAAAAAGCTCATAAAAATGTTTAAAAAAACCTCAAATCGAAAATTTATAATTTAAAAAATATTTAAAAAATTAAAAAAAGTGCAGTGCCTCCGCTAACACTTATAAATCAAAATTTTATGGCGTTATAATTATATAAATTATAAATTAAAAATATTATAACTAAAAGTGCGAATATTTAGAAATTACTAAAACTAGTGAAAAAAGACTGGAAAATTTATTAGAAAGAAAAATATGATCCATAAATTGAAAGCAAACAATCCAAATCAATAAAATTCAAATATATATATTTTAGGATTACTTAGAAAAAAAAGTAAAGAAATAAAAATTTTTCACCTGTGCTCTGCGATAAAGAGCTTTGGCATCCGTAGCGCTGTGCTTTAAAACTTCACTGCAATCTTTTATGGCTTTGTCATATTGGCCGAGTTTTAAGTAACAGGCAGCTCGATTGTTAAAAAGGATATTCACTCCATTTAAATCTAAACTGTCTGAATTAAAAAATTTGTAATTCTTGCAATTGACAGGATTTTTAAAACTTGAAAGAAATCATAACTTTATTATAAATTATGTTTTCTTTGGTTTTTCATAAAGATTTGCACTAAAATCTTTCAAGTCAAAATTTTATAGCTTAAATTATAAAATTTTCAGTAAATTTTATTAACCAGTTCCAAGATAGTAACACAAAAGTTAGTGCCTTTTACTATTTAAAAAACAACTTATTGTTTAATAAGTTATGAACCGGCACCATCAAAAAAATAATAATAATTTATATAAAAGCTACCTATTATTAAGCAAACTGAGATACACTTAATAAATAAACGTTATAGAAAGTAAAACTAATATTATAAATTAACGTACACATTTATATGCTTTACCCGAACTTTTTAGTTGCACCTCAATGGCTTCACTATAACAAATCTTGGCCTCTTCATATCGATCGGACTTAAAGAAATAGTTGCCTTTATTTTTTAATTCCAAGGCAAGATTACCCAAAGGCTAAAAGTAAGCATATTTCGTCACGAAAGTAGTGAAAATTAATGGTGTATCAACTTTTTTTTTTAATAACGAAACTTTATCCTAAAAAAACTTAAAACAATTTAATTTTAAAGGTTTGTAGTCTAAGTATTTTCTATATATATATAGATTACTAAACCTTAAAAATAGTAAATATGGTTAATTTAAAAGCAAAGTATACTAAGATAGCAAAAAGTAAAGAAAAATAACTATAAACCCATAAAATATAATAAATAAATACATTTTCCATCCTTAACATTTTCTATAATTACTAAGTAATATAAAAATGGTGTAGTACGCACTTCACTGGTCCCCTTGCGAAACTTAGCAGCCTCTAATTTGTTTGGCTGCTTTAGTTTGTTCATTCAAATTTAAAATAGCTAGTGCTGCCTTATTAAATTTTATACTCATTATATAAGGTTATAATTATAGACTTCATATAATACTCTCTAATAAAAACAGAAAAGAGATTGTATAAAATTGCACTGTAGCGGATCGAGTAACATCTGTGGCAATAATAGTCTCAGCGCATTTACGAGATGCGCTAGTAGAGTCATTCACTGACTAATTTAGTTGACTTTCCCATATTGAATTAGATATTTCTTTTTTCGCTTCTACTAATATTTTATAGATACTTTTCACAAGTTAATGAGATGCAAGACCCGGAGGGGTGGCTTTTGGCGCTCGTTACTGCTATCTTGTAGTCATTTCGAGAAAGTTATAATACTTCCTTAACAGGTGCACTGTAAATCATCCAACTAATTATTTGTTATACATATACTTTAAAAAATGTTCGTACTTAGCTTGAGTCCTACCTTGTATGAATCTATTTTATCTAGTTCTGTACCGAAATTTCAGTTTTAAAATATTTTTAAGATCCCTCCCAAAGCTAAAGTAGAGGGGCAAATTTAAAAAATAAGACAGAATGCCAGTCTTCACTACATTGAAGATTTACCATTCTTTTTTATTAAAAATTCTACTAAAATAAAGCAACTCGTGGTTAAAAGTAAACTAGTTAACTATTTACTTTCCACTATAGTTCTTTCGGTTTAAGAAAGAAACCCCGAGCTTATGCTTATCGCTTCTTCAGTGTTCACTGTTTTTATATATTAGGCCTTATATTAAGAAATTATCAAATACAAAAGTGGCGAATTAAAGTATTTATTAGCTTAAAGTAAATCAAGGCTGAACGAAAAATCTCAAGTATAAAAAAAACTATAAATTTAGATTACAAAGTCGTAATATTGACTTAAGTACTTATAAAAATAATATTGTAATTACAAGATTTCTAAAGATTACCCTTTAGCGACAGGATTCTTTACAAATTATATAAAAGTTTTTACTCCAAATAATAACTTAGTAAGGGTATAACTCTTTACGTCCCTCCTTATTTAATGCATTCTCCTTCTTTACTTTCGCATCAGCGCAGTACCTGACAATTTCACACGACGCCATATCCAGTTTATAAACAACATCCCGATTTTGTTTATAGAAATTAATGGCTTCCCTATAAAGTTCAGCCTCTTGAAATAAAAAAAGAATGCAGGAAACAATCACATTGCTTATTTCCGATTTTGTACTTTTAAAGTTTTCAAAGTACTCTAAAGCGCTTTCCAAAGCACGCGGTTTTACATGGGCGCGGATCAAAGCCGTTAGAATCCCGCGGGAAACAGATTCTTTATTCCATAAAACCTGTTTCTTCTTAAGTGTTTTTATACATTCTTTAGTTCTATAACTAAAAGGCTCAACAAAATCGTTTTGAAGATCTTTACAAATCTCACCACTCTCACTATTGTTATTATAGAGAGAAAAGGTCTCTTTAGCTAATTCTAAAGGGCCATCTCTGCAGGCTTCCAAAACGCTCAAAAAAAGGGAGGGCTTCATTGGGATAGGAGTGTGAAGTGATTTTAATTCATCATAAAAGTCAAGAGCTTCTTTAAATTTTCCTACTTTTGCATATATTCCAATTAAAGAGGCATAAGATTCCACGATCTGGTGAAGCGGAATTACATTTACTAGATGAGGCTCATCCAGGCAGGGCTTATAACCCTGAAGCGATTTTATCGAAACAGTATTATTATCTACTTGAAAAGATAACGCCTGTTTCATACAATCAAAAATTTCTTGTGCAGTTTTATAATAACTATTAATACGACAAATATCGATAAGTCGAGAAAATGGAATAAAAAAAGAAAGCTCCTCATTGTTGAGCAACTCGATAAGTTTTCCAATAACGCCCCATTGATTATCTGTAGCGCAAGATATAAACACAACCTCGTACGCCTTCAAAAGTAACTGTTTTCGTTCATATGTAAGCGCCTTGTCTTTAACTTCAATCCTTAACTTTTTAAGAATTTCTAAAGATTTTCTCCAATCTACTTGACTGAGAGGTAATAAAACTTTAAAAAGTGTGCTCTCAGTAGTAAGTATACTTCCCTTACGCATATATCGGTACATAATTGCTATTAAAAAAAAATATAACATTAACTTAGTGAAATGAATTATTAAAATTAACAACAATACAAGCCTCCATTGCTTGAATCCTTAAATGTTCCAAAATTAAAGAGGAAGTATTCCCTAATAATAGGATATTAAAACATAATATGTAACTTAAACATCTTATCTAATGTGCTCTATAATATCGAATTCATATAATTTTATTCTTACTGGTATAAAAGTAATATTTTTCTTTGTTAAGGAAAACAATAATTATATTAGTATCTAAGAAAAATTTATGAATTTAATAATATTTTCTGAAAGGTAGACTAAATTAAAAAAAGTAACTTGTTATCTCTCTCAGAGAAAAAATTTCATGCTCCGTAACTCGATGTATTGCATGTTTCTGTAAAAATAATACGGCATGACGTGGCAACCGGGGAAAGCGTAGTAAGTTACTTAATCTCATCGAAATAAAAAGTAGTTATTGAAGTCCCAAACGTAGTAACACCGCCTATGGAAGCATGCGTGGTTTACTTTACTACCTCAACAAGGTACTTTATCAAGCCTTCCTTTTTAAAACACGTAAGCAGAGAGGCTGTGCAAAATTTTCTTATAAAAAAAATTCAAAGGAGTAAGTTTTATGTCTGCTTATACACTGTTATTGACTATATTTTATATAGGAAATATAAAGTTTCGAAATTAAAAAACTCTGTTACAGCTCCCCCACGTGACGAATTTATGGCAATGTTATAATATCATGTGAAGTAGCATATATAGGGTTAAACAGAGGGGGCTCTTTCGCCTCTTCGTTCTCCTCTGCTTATATTTTTCGCTCATCTGAGACCCCTTAGCTTTCCGAAGATGTAATATTCATACAAGACGTTTGGCAACTTTTTATCTTTTTTTTTATATATTTGTAAACTTACGGGTTTTTTAATATATATATTTTTCACCTAGTATTTACCGTAATGTCTGACTCTGCTTTGGATTTTGGAAAAAATTTTTTGTTAGGCGGTGTTTCCGGCGCCATTGCGAAAACATGTACCGCTCCAATAGAGAGGGTCAAGCTAATTATTCAAACTCAAGATTCTAACACAAGGATTCTTTCTGGTGAAGTCCGGAGATATTCTGGTAATATTTATTAATAATAATACATTTAGGAGCCTTTGCTTGATTTGGTGTTTTAACCTTTTTTTTCAGGGATTATAGACTGCTTTTCACGGGTACGAAAAGAACAGGGAATTATTTCTTTTTGGCGTGGCAATTTTACCAATGTTATAAGATATTTTCCTACTCAAGCTTTTAATTTTGCCTTCAAAGACACCATAAAAGTATTGTTTCCTAAGTACGACACTAAGAAAGATTTCTGGCCCGCGTTTGTGGTGAATTTGGTATGCTTTTTTTAAAATGTGCCTCTTTTGGAATAGACGGGCTCCATTATATAGGCTTCTGGTGGTCTGGCCGGGGCTGGATCCCTTTTATTTGTGTACCCTTTAGATTACGCTCGTACACGTCTGGCCTCCGATGTGGGTTCCGGCAAGCGAGATTTTAATGGACTCGGCGATTGCTTGATCAAAACTGCGCGGGGTTCTAAAGGCTTTTTGGGGCTCTACAACGGTTTTGGTGTCTCCGTGCTAGGCATCATCCCATACCGCGGCGTCTACTTCGGGCTTTTCGATACACTGAAGGACAAGAATCCCTATCAGCACGACAAAGGCTTGAAGGGTTTGTTCGCAACTTTCTTAGTAGCTCAGACCTCCGCCGTTGCAGCCGGCTACTGTTCTTATCCGTTTGACACTATCCGCCGGCGCATGCAAATGCAGTCCGAAAAGCCACGTGAAAAGTGGCTTTACTCGAACACTATACACTGTTTAGGAAAAGTGGTTAAAGACGAGGGCATGACCGCGTTGTTTAAAGGCGCTGGTGCGAATGCTCTGAGAACTGTGGGATCTGCTTTAGTTCTTGTGCTTTACGATCGCTTTAAAATTATTTTTAATTTAAAATAACTGGTGTGTGAGTTTTCCAGAAATGAATAAAGTTTTTGATTTGGAAATAACAATATCAGTTTAGAAGCGTGAATTGTCTATTGCGGTCCGTTAAGATAACCTAAAGCCTTAAAAAGCAGATTTAATTTGAAGACTTGCGTTAACTTTTTACATAAATTGGTCCTTGTCTAGTTATCAACTTCTCATGGTTGGTTCTTTTTATTATTTTAAATAACAGCGTACATAAATCCCTTTTAGTAAATAACTTTTTTGGAAAGATGATTTAATTTGAATTTTAAGGTCTCTTGTTTATTTTCAAAAAATTTGACTTCTAAAAAAATTATTTTTCTGCACAAATAATTATAAATTTTTTAAAAAGAAAAACAATCGCGGAAAGTTGCAATATTATATTTTAATTATTTAATGCTAACCAAATGGTTATAATAAGAGTATGTAACAAGTTTAAGTTAGTCACTCTCTTGCTTTTGCATAAATTAAATAATTGCACAGTTCAAAAGAGCGCCTCTCCCACGCTAGTCGGCCATAAGTAATTAGCCACTTATCAAATGTTTAAGATTTTCACATTTCTGTTGAAGCCTAAAGACTCCTAATTAACCTCTAAAACTGTTAAATTCCTGAATAATAAAGTCTCTACAGCCTTTATCGTATAATTTTTAAATTTTTGCTCTAACTAATATGACTTTGAAATTTTCAGTACTGCAACAATTAAAGAGTAAAAAGAAAAGTGTTATATACTCAAACTTAATATTTGGTAGATTTTAATTTTTTAAAGTCACGAGTGAAGTAATATACACCAATTAATGTTCTAGTTAAAAAGTTCCTAAGCCTCAATAAAAGTATAGAAGTAAAAAGCAGATAAGAGAAAAGAACTAACCGCCTTCGTAAAAAGTAAAATTCTAAAATGAATCAAAGCTATAGTCGAAATTTATTAACGAAAACTCCAAAGGAAAAAAGGTAAGGAAATTAAAAATTAATTATATTATAAAAGGAATACCCAAAATTTCAGCTCCAAATATTCAAGTATACAAGAGCAAATTGCAATGTATACAGAAGTTAAAAGTATTTAGCTTTATAAATATATAGAGAGAAGAGCTGCTCGCCTTGTAAATTACTTAAAAAAAAAGGATTATTTTAAGTATTTTATTAAAAAATTTAGTTTAGAGCTTCCAAAAATTTTCAACTCCAATAACACATGTATATATATAAAAGTAAGACTCGCGTGTTTTACGTGGCTAATAAAAAATGATTATCGGCCTCGGCCTCGGCCTCTTCCAGCTATTAAAAAGATATTTATAATTGTACGGTATAAATCAAATTAAAATATATAATACTCAATAAAATTTATTAAATAAATACTAACCAGCATTTCTACCAGCAGCTGCTTTTTGGGCAGCCAAATGTTTGTCCATCTTGCGAAACAATGGCGAATTTTTAAGCATGTCAGGCAGAATAACCATTCTTATTTTACTTCCTCGAACATATGCGTGTTCCAATTTTGAGGTTCTCCCGTCTCGAGAGGTATAAGTTACGCCTAAAACAAATTAATTTACTATATGAGCATTATATAACACAAGTTCTTGAGGGTAATATATATAAAACTTACAGTTTAATGTTACATAGCTATTATAAAATAAAGTCTAAGTCCTATAAAATCAAAATATAACAATTATATCAAAAAAGTTAAGACGAAATTGGACTTATAGAAGAACAATACATTTTGAATCATAAATCTCGGACAAAAAAAACCTTCTAATCGGCAGTTAAAGTTATCTTGACACTCAACAAGTTTTCCACGAAACAGTTCCCCAGTAATTAATTCGAGGGTTATTATAAAAGCTAAAAAAAAAGGACACTTAACACTTAAATAAAATGTAAAAAAAAACATATTTTTACCGCAAGACTCGTGCAAAAGCTTTACTGGTATGCCTATAGACATAATAACTTAATTTAAGGAAGTCTGTAATATAAGTGATCGTTAAGTACAAAGATATACAATAAAAACCAACAGAAAAGCTAAAATAAAACTCGAAAAAATATTAATTGATGGCGAGTAAATATACAGCTCTAAAAGTAATAGTAATAAAAAGATATTTAACCAAACCAAAAAAAACAGTCTGTAAAAAGCTCCTGTTCCTTTGTGGCTACAGTTACGTAATTTACACCTCAAAATCAGTTGTTCCCACATGGTTTTTTTCTGATGAGCAAAAATACTAATCTCCCTTGAGCGCCATGTAAAGAAAAATAAACAAAATGCTGTTGGTTTCCTTGTATTATTGATTTATAATAATATCTTTTAATAGTTTATAAAAAAATTTTATTTTGGTAATAAAAATTTGGTTAAAGCATAAGTGGGTACTATAGGCTATAAAGTTTATATCCTCTACTGATAACAAGCTCAAGGCCTCATAAGCTCAGGTATATTGATATATCATTGTGATCTTAGCTTGCATCTGCTCCTCTTTTTATTTAAAGGACTCGCATTTAACCGTCTTTCGCTCCAGGAAACTTCTGCAAAAGTAAATTCACGACCTCTGTATAAGAAACTTATGAAATAGCTTTTCCTATTGCTCATTTGTGGCTTGCATTGCAGACCCTTCGTGCTATACTCAACCAGAAGTCTCCTTCACTTCGAAAAGTCAGTCTAGTGACTTTTACTCGTTCAGGCAAAGAGGTTACTGGGTCATTCACTGACCTTGAATTTTTATATTAAACTCAGGTAAGGAGGTATGATGATAATGACCCGTGACTTCCTAGGCTCAAGTAGGTCGCGGTATTTCTGGTAAACAACAAGAAAATCCTTATCTTCTAAGCCTCTTTCCCTTTGCCCAACTTCGAGAGGGACAGAGAACTGATCCTTCAACTGTTCGCTTCGATAGTTTTTAGAAGGCGTTCATACCTTTTAAAAAGGTAATATCTTGCAAGTACATCATGCCTCATTTAGTGCTCCCTAGAGCTCTCCGCGTTGGCCGTGTAACCCTTGAAACTCAGCTGTGTTACACAGGGTCTTCAAGGTCAGTTACAACATAGAGTGACGAAAGAGGGATTTAAAAGCATTGCAATGAAGCCACAGTTCCCTGTTAGTTAAGTAGAGGATGGCTCCACTTCTCTCAACTGGACTCAATTTGAGCTGGCAGTGCTATTTAGCGATGCGATCCGCTAACGACGTTGCATTAATTCGTGTTACTTAGCGTCTAGAACAAAATTTGATCGTGACGACGCGTTCTAAGCTACAAAACTATTACAGATGGTTTTAGATCATTTAATAGTCCGTCCCAAAATCACTAAGAGTTGCCGAATGTCAATTGCAATCGTTGCTCTCGCAATTGATTAAGTCGCTGAATAGGTATCTTTTGCATAATCAGCTTGAGTTATAGGGGAAATTTATGAGTTTGTTCTCATACTTGTAGCGTAAGAGATAATCGGAAAAACGGCAAAGTTTAACGTAAACACCACCCCGTTATTTATAGCAAGACGAAAACTTTTTAATGTTTTCATTAAATCCCAAAAAAGATAAGAATTTTTTGGAGCTATATGTATGAGCCCTACTTGGGTCTTTCAGAAGGGCCTTGTAAAAAAATTTTTATAGTTATTAATTAATGTTAAGAACCCCATTTTTTTCTTTCTGTATATAAAGCGCCAGAAAACAACCTAATTCGTTATCACACAACTAAGTCTACGATTTGAACCAATAATCAGGTTAACATGAATTATATTTCTTTACTTTAAAGAGTTCAAACTATAGCCCTGATGATAACTTTTATAATAAGCATATATATTACAACTATTTAGCAAAAAAATTTTATGCAACCGTACCGAGTTTATACAATTCCCCTCATTCTTCCATCTACGAGAGATTTAAAACAGATCACGGAGATTAATGCATAAAATGAAACATAAAGCAAGGATACGTTAAGGGCAGCGATAGAAATATATTTTGCATGCTGCAATAGTAAGGTTTATGATTACCTCCTCGCTGTTTTTACGCAACGTTGCTTATATGAATGACTACCATTTATTTGTGTATAAAAGTAGTTGACGTGTTTCCATTGTAGATCTTATATATGTTTTTTTAATCCTTTTTTTTAAGAATTTAAATGTCGCTTTAATATGCGTTAGAGGTGTGCTGGTCATCTACTAATATTACAAAGGAAGTAAAAATTATGCATGTGTTGCACAAGCTTAGAAAGTAAATTTTTCTATTAATAAAAGATAGACACTAGTATCGAACGGTACAAAAAACGAGTTATCGAACTCTCAACAAAGTGATAGCGTACAGCAAGATCCAGTGTAACATAGACTCTAACCTCTATAAAATACAACAAAACTTCGCCGTCCTTTAGTTTTAACTGAGTTCTTCTGCTAAAGTTAATTGGTGTACTTACTGAACCGTTCGGTAGCGAGAAGATTGCTTTAAAAACGTTAGTTAAGGGCTTAAGCTAGAGGTCTTACTGTAAAGCATCGTTCCAAACAAATTACGGCGCTGCCGTTACAATGCTTAGCAGCTTGTTTTGTCTCATTGAAAGCAAAGAGATAGCTCGCGACAAATAGTAGGCTCAAGCGGAAGATGCACAATTATTGTTCATCGAACGAGAGTATGCTATAGGGCACAAAGTAAACTATTGAAAGTTGGAGTCGCAAACCTCATTGCAACGTAATTTACGTGAGACCGTCCATAGTAGTTAGGCCGCCGATGAACTTTTCTTATAAAGGTTAGCGGCAGTGATGATGCAGTGCGCTTATCTTAATAGAAAGGGCCTTAGTTGGTTTTCTTTCGCGGTTATAGTAATTCTTCAATGGCAACACCAGTTAAATAACTTTAAAGTAGCATTGCAGATGCTGGTAGCAACCTTGACGAGATGTAAATCGCTGTATAGGGCGACCCGCTGAGGAATTTCGTCAGATGGTGTAACAATTCCTTAACAAGGCGCATTATATATTGAGTCCTTAAACATATATGGTCTCTTAGAATTAAACTGGTAATTAGTTTATCTACACTAAGAAAACCAGTAATTACTTCTGTTTCCCGTTATCCTATATTAAAATAATTTCCTTACGGACAGTACACAACGACCGGTTTAATCCATAAAGGGTTTTCCTTTAGTGCGACAGTACCTTCACCCTTTAGTTCTCTGGCTTTGTGGACTATACTCTGCCTTATTTATATGCATGTATATATATACACTTACTGAGCTTCTTACTAATAATATTTATATTTTCTCTATTACCCAAAAATTAATTATTTAACACGCAATATTAAACAAGGAAGGAATTTACTTTATGCTTCCAAAAAAAAGCACGACTTGAAAAAAAAGTTAAATTTATGAGAAGTAAAAAAAGTTATAGGAGTGACTGAATGGGAATTTAATTTAAGAAAGTTTAAGTAAACTTCTATGCATTATACGTTTTTTTCTAGAATTAAAGTTTATAATATCTTTAACTTGGCTAGATGATTTTATATCTACAAACAAACAAGTCAAACTTTTCATATATAATAGTGTATTTACAAAAATTTTATAGTAATAATAAAAATATAATACTATTTTTTAATATTTAACACTATAAAAACTGAAGACACTTTTTTCCTTACTCAAGCAATCGACTAACTCTTTAACTATTTAACTTCGTAAAAAAAATTTTACTTCAAAAAAAAATTAAATTTCTTTTCAATAAAAACAGTGAGTGGAAAGAAGTAATAAGGCAAAAAAAAATAGTACTATTTTCGACGTTTGCTACTAATAATATATGCAATTTCATATTATTTGTACTTAGAAAACTTCTTTCTTGATAATAGTGAAGACATATAAATAACTTTATTTAAAAATTCAAAGAAGCGAAAAAACAGTTTTTTTTTAGAATAATAAGAATAAGTAATGTTGTGACATAAAAAGCGCCAAATGTGACACTCTGGTTATCATTATAAATAATATTTATAATTTCAAAAATTATTATGTTTAGTATCAAATGAGTTATTACTATCATTATTATTATTTTCATTATTTTCATTAATATCATCTTCTATAGTAAAAGTATCAGGAGGAAACAGATCGCCCCACGCTCTTTCTCGTAACTGCCGGAAATCCTTTTTTCCTCTTCGAGCGCTGACAACAATCCTTTCAAGTCTTCCTATTATTATTATTATAATCATTATTATTATAATTACTATTACTAATTTTTGTTAAGCTCACCGAGGGGAGTGCAAAGGTCGAACAAAACCTTTTGTTTGGCTACAATTGGTATATTCATAATTCTCGACCAATCCGAAGTCTACAATGTTGTCAACCATAAAAATATTAGTTAATATTATATTATCAAAATATTAATAATTAAAAATTACCTTAAAAGTATATCAAAAGCTAAAAAATATTAAGTAAAATAAAAGTTTATATTTTTTAATAAAAAAACGCTTACAACTAATATAAAAGTTAAAAATAATAAAGTAATAAAAAATTCTAATAATAATAAAAATTATATATAGTAATAAGTATATATTATATAATACAAAACAAGAAAAATATAAAAAAAACCCTCTTGAAAAAAATATGAACCTCATCCTCATCACTTCCGGATATTTTCGAATGTTCCCTTTTTTCAATAATAAGAAAAGAAAAGTGCTCTCGAAAAACCCCTTTCTTCTTCACTTTTTGGTTTAAAACCTTTAAAATATAGTAATAATATGAATAATAATAATTTTACAAATAATAAAAATTTTCAATATATACAAAAATAATACATACAAACAATATAACAAAAATAATACTAAAATAGAAAAAATTATAAATGAAAAATGTAAACCAAAAATAATGGTAATTCTAAACATCATCACCGTTCAGAGAACCAAAAAGTTAGTCTTTATTTCTAATACACCTTTTAAATAATAAATAGTACAGTTTTCGAAGGAAATTCGGAGTTCTGCACAAAAAAGCATGTGCGTTCCTCCCCAATTTTTGGACAAGAAAAAGAATGCGGACACTACAAAAAAAGTAATAATAATAATAATTAATTAATTAATTAGTAATTAACGAACTGGAGAAATGAGTTTCGCATTACTCAAACGCAACAAAATATTTCTCGCAACTGTTATAGTTTGAAAACCAGTTTTGTTTCCATATTCAATAAGAACCTTAAATATTATAATAACAATAATAATAATAATGGAAAAGTTTATTATTGATAAAAAAACTAACAAGAAAGCCTTTCGTTTGGGACCACAAATTTATTAATGACTTCTCAAAAACTTCACGATCAGAAAGTTCAGAAAGAGTATACGCTGTTATTGTTAAGTCGTAAGTTTCCTAGTAATAATAATAATAATAAATAATAATAAAAGTAATAAAAGTTTACTTTCGAAGTTAATGAAGAGTATTTCTTTTGTTTGACGTTCGGAATAACTCCAGTAGCGCTGGCTAAAAATAAGTTGTATAATAATAATAATAATACTAATAGTAATAACAATAACTACAAGTTTCCAAAAAAGTTTGTAGGTTCATCATATTTTGAGAAATTTCAATACAATCGAAATAGAGGTCGTGGCTCCACATAGACTTGCAGGCCCTATTTTATAAACTAATTATAGTTTTATACATAAAAAAAGTATCATAAAATAAGAATTACGTGAAAAATATATAAATATTATAAAAACTAAATTTTCGTATATAAGAAGTGATTATGAGAGCCAATAAAATTAATCAAAAGTTTTATAAAAATTAAAATTGGTAATAATTTTTTTAATTTATAAAAAGTTAGTGGTTACTCAACAAAAAAAAAAAATAACAAATTTCATAATTTTTAAGAAAGTTTTAACAGAAAATCTTCTAAATATCAACTCGAGTTTGTATTGTTTTAAAAAAAGTATAATGAAACTCTGCAGTATGTTTTTCACAATGAATATTAAAAAGATACCCAACTTAGGAGCAAACCGAAAAAATAAAGAAAAAAGTAACTCTTATTATAGGAAGTAAAGAGTCAAAGTGGAGCAGAAAAACAATTACAGAAAAATACTGGAAAACTCGATATAAGAAATAACAAACTATGAATTCAAGTGAAGCGCTCTCTAATAATTATTAAATTATAATGACAAAAAAATTATAAGCTGCTAATATATAATGGCGCAAAGAAAAAGTTTAAAAAAAAAAGTGAATACAAAAATACCAAACAGTGGACCCCAAGCCGCTACCAAAGTCTAGTACGGTGCTCGGCTTGAATTTCGGAAATCGGCTTTTTAGCTTTAGCATTATTATTTTTATTATTATTAATATAATTGTAATTAAAAACAAAATAATATAAACAAAAAATTTATAAAATTAATTAGAGAAATGTATTAATACTATAACTCGCGAGATTATTAAAAAAGATAAAATAATAAAAAAATTTTTTTTTAGATTATAATGCGATGTATTAACTTTAATTTTCAATAAAAAATTTATCAAAAAAGTTAAATTTAAATAATGTATAAAAAACAAAATCAGTAAAAAGTAAAATAAAAACTTTAACTGCAGTAAAAAAAACTCGGACAATATTAACTTTAACTTTACATAAATTTATAAATTATAAAAATTGAAATCAACAAAAATATAAATAAAGATTTATAAGTAAAAGTAAAAAAAATATCTACTTTATAAAGAATTCTCAAAAATTAACGTGCAAATTACTCAGTAAATATATATTATAAAAAAATATAAACAATAAAAATATACCTTCTTGCATAATAATACTAACATAAAATTTACAGGATATATTTTAATTAAAAAAAGTTATAAAGATTTATGACTCCTATTATTTATATGTCTAATTTAAAACTGAAGCCGATAATTAAAAAAAGTAAGAAATTGAGTAAATAAAGTAATATTTTTTACTTCGAAAAGGACTCGAGCAGTACTGGAGTACACGTGCGGCATCCGCCCGAACAAATAAGCGAGGCACTCCCGCTCTCCATATTTAACAGGGCCACGCGATTCATGTAAGTAAAAATCGTCTTCTTTTAAAAGATGCGCTTTTATAATAGAAATTACTTAAGTATAAAAAATTTAGCACACGATTTAAGGTAAATTTGGATAACTAATAAAAATAAATCTTAAAAAATTTGGTAAGGTTTTAAAAATTAAAAATTTAAAAAGGTACAAAGTTTCCCGGTTTCATATTCCTGATAAGCCAACTTTTGAGAACTCTTTTTAGAAATGCCCGTCAAAATTAATTCTTCTGCACGTTTTCGAGTAACCAATTGGATCTGCCGACTTCGCAAAGATAAAAAATATTTAAAGTTTATTAAACTAAGTTTTGTTTAGAATAAAAGAAAAAAATTATATAAACAATTAAGTATTATAAAAGTTTTTTCGTAATATTAATAACGTTGCGGAAATGTTCAACTTAAAACATCACTTTTACAACTTTTTTATCATATCCTTATAAATGGTAAATATTTAATGTAAAAATAATTAGTAATAAATTTTTTTTAAAAAGTCTTAAATTGAAAAATATCTTAAAAATCTTATTAATTATCAACTCCACAGTGAATGTGTTACCAAAAAATAAAGTGATACTTTCTTAACATTAATAGTTTACATATGAAAATCTTTGTTCACCCATTTTCATATAACCAGGGTTCCCATTTAAAATACTTAAAAAATAATAATATACGGTGAGATGTTTTCAGTAGCCTTTTTGTCCTTAGTTAAAAACTTTACTAATTTATAAATGTCCTCTTTTAGAAGACCCTTGTCATTGATTCCTAAGTATTTAATAAAATAATACTATTATAATTGAAATGAATATAAAAATCAAGAATAGATTACCTTCAAAGATCTGTTGTGCGTTTAAACGTAAGAGGGGAGGAAGAGGAAACAAAAGAGGAAAGCGGCCAAGACAAGCTCGAGAATCGCGTCTGGGAGTCCATTTATTAACTAAAGGTAAACTTGCCTGGTGTCCTTAATTATTGAATTTTGTTAAAAATATATATTTATAATAAAAGGTTTTCCTATCTGTTAACTATCACTAACTTATAATGATGTAACCTATAAATAGGTAATAATAACAATACTATTTTAAAATTTATATAACTACTATAAATATTGTGAGATATACCTATAAACTTACCGCAAGAAAAAGTTCTAACACTTCTTAGCTGAGTTAACCGTGAGAATTGCTTTTGCATAGCATAAAAAAGTATATATTTGTTATATTAACGATACGTTTTATAATATATCTTTATTACTTAAAATTATATATATATATATGTATATCTTTAGTGTATATGGAAGGCAATACTTGAAATAAAATCAAACCAACAAGAAACGCTACTTGTATTCGCGCACGTTTTCAGCACGCAGAAGAAAAAAAAAGTCTTATAGTTTAACTCACAGAAGTTGCTTCACACTTAAAATATTTAAAATTTTGGTGTACTAAAGTGTAAACAAACTTTGCTATTCGCTTACTTAATTATTATAACAGTTGGGGAAAAAACATTCTGCTTTATTTTTTAAGTTATTTAACTTCTTAATTAATTTTTTTCTCTACATTTTATACAGACTAATAGGTTTCAAATAACAAATTTAGTTGTAATACCTGTATTGCTTTTGAAACCCTTTTATGGAGCAAAGCATACAAAAACTATTTTTGATAATAATAAAAATAACTATATTGCAATCTTGGGACAATGTGAAAATTTCATTTCTTAAACGTTTTTCATAAATTAATAGCGTAAACCTAAGGTACGTCTTATATTGATAAATTAGGCACCTTATCCTCTCAAAACTTATGATGAATATTCAAAAGAAGTTACACTGATTGGTAATTTGTCTTCCTCGAAGGAAGGGGATAAAAATATGTACTGAATGAGCGCTTAACGTCCTTAGAACTAGACGAATGCCCGTTCCAAAAAAAAAAATAAATCAATTTAGCGTTTTTCTTTTTTTTTTCTTTCTTTTTGTTATTCATATTTTTCCTTTGAATATATTTTATATTTTCTTATAAAAGGGTACCCTGTTTTTAATGCGAGAAGGAGCACTCTGTATAAAATAAAGAGGGAGAATATAAATGGGCCTCTTCGTTATCCACTTACTTTCTATACAATTGCAAAAAAAAAATAACCCATAATGGCTATAGAAAACGTGTAAGCATTTTAAAATAACAAGTGAAGCATAGATTTTGCGAGAGCATCACTTATGATAAGAAAACACTCCAAATACTCCTTGCTTATAGGGAAGGCGAAATACTTGCAAGGGTTAATCAAGTGTATGATATGATTAGCAATGGTTTTTAAGTTTTACAACTTATGTAGTTATTAATAGAACAAGTACTGTTAACAATTTTTTACTTTAAACGGATGATCGCAGACCTCTTAATAGCTCCTTCAAGCTTTCCTATTTTTTTTATTTACATAGTTAAATATTTCGACTAAAACTTTCCTTTTCCCTTCGTAAAAAGATCCCCATTTGCATAAATCCTGTATATATATTTTAAACTCAGTAAGACGAAACTTATTTGGTTATTCTTAAATAAAACTTTAAATTTTTATAGGGTATTTAACCAGATGAGTTTTTTATCCGAGTCTTCTGAAAAATACTTTTATGAATCTTTATTTCAAAAATGGGATACCCGTAACGAAGGTATTTTTATTGGTTAAGGCTATTTCCGAAGATCATATATTTTAAATTTAAATTGAGTTATAAGGCTTTAAAGAAAATAACTAAAAGAGATTGCATAATTTTTATTATTTGTTCTTCTGTCTAAGAAAACATTTAATTTGTCCTGATCGTCTTGCCCTACGATAATCCTAATTAAAGTAGGATTGAATGCAATTATAATAATAATAAATGTTTTTAATGTACTAAGTTTGGAGTTGTGATTTAGTGAAAAATTAATAATTTCATTGAAATTAAAATATACTTCAAAGTTTAATTTTTACTTCCCGTTTCATTATACAAAAATATTTCCTTGAAATTTTAATTTTTTTGAGGAAAAAGAATATTCGATTCAAACTTTAATTTAAAGGCTTTTAATCAGTTTAACGTTTAAAAAATTTTACTTTAGCTATATATGGCACACAAAATAAGTTTGGTATTTTAATTAGCCATATAACTTTTTTTTTTATACTTATAAAGTTTTGCGTGACCAACTATGTGGTAACAGAGGTATATTGAGTGTAACAACTATTTATAATAATTTTTTTTTTAAGTTTATTATCTTTAACTTTCTTCAATTTTCGTATGTATTTAAAAACAAAATGCACTTAACTATAATTCTAAAAATTTAATAAAATTATGGACTTTTTTTATAAAAAAAAATATTCTTCCTAATTTAGCTTTGTACGCATTTTCTTTAAATTCAAAAAGGATTCCTAACCGGAAACTTTTTAGCTGCAAAGTTTAAACTTTCTGGATTACCCAAAAACACGTTGGCGATTGTATTTTATAAATATATATTTCTATTATTTAGTAAATGAATTAAATATAACTTTATTTTACTTTTATTAAAGATTTGGGATTTGGCGGATTCTGATAAAGAAGGTTTTTTATTATTACTTTGTATATTTGCTATGCTGGCAAAAGACACACAATTATGTACTTTACTAGTTTTAATATTGCATTTTTAGTTAAGTTTTATGAATGTCTTGATCTTTTAAGATTCTGTAATCTCAATTATTGCTTTTTGGGTATTTTTAAATTATACTTTTAACACTAAAAAAAATTATAATAATCGTTGTTTTTTAGATTCTATAACACAAAAGAAGTGTAAATTTCTAAACATAATATAAAATAAACCGGGCATTATTAGCATGTAATATTTTCTAGTACCTTAAATTAGGGTGCTTATTTAAAAAAAATACACAAACCCAACATTAGTTCATGATTCAAATCTTATCTTTTTTGTTATTGGTTGATGCTGGTGAATTTATACTTCTTCATAATTTAAATTCATTTCTTACTTTTGTGTGATACTAATATTGCAGATTGACGCCTTTCAAACTTGTATTTAATAGACAGTAAAGTAATATAATATAGATAATATAAAGTATATTACTGGTAAACCGAAGTACTGGAAAGCACTGAAATTTAATAGCTTTAACAGTTTATGCGAGTTTAAAAAAATTTAATTTTCAACCTTTTTCTTCCATTTAATTTTTGCTTTTTGTACAAACTTTTCAAAAGTGTTTTAGTTTTTTCTATTTTTTATAGGAAAGCTAAACAAAACACGGTTTTTCGTGGCACTAAAGTTAATTGCTTTGGCTCAGCAAGGCAAAGCCTTGGATCTTTCTAATTTAAATTTGAAAGTAATTTCATTAAAATTATTAAATTTCAGTATTATTACTTATTCTATTTTGAAGGTCCCACTTCCTACTTTTAAAGGGCTGAATGATACTAGTAAACATAACTTATAATATTTCTTTTTTCTAGTTATTTTTTTTTAATTTTTGTAGGTGCGGAAGGTTTCAATCAGGACCAGAGGCCAAAAGTCATAAATTTAATTTCGTTCTTAAAAAAATTATTATTTCCTTTATTTTATAGAAATTCAACATCACTTCAGAGGAAAAAAGTCATTCTTATGATCTCTTTTATAAAGCAACACGTGGTGGTGAAAAACTTTCGGGAGCACAATTTAAGCAAGTATTATAAAGAATTCATTATTTTTTGTTGTATTTTTTAAAGGTCTGAAGGCAGGAAAGGCGCAGTGTACCGACCAACAGTTATATTAGCATCTCCGTCCACAATTTTTGTTGCGCAATAGCTTTTGTGGGATAGGTTAATCCATCGCGGACATGCCTACGGCACTGAGGCAGTTTGGCAGTGTCAGCCACCAATCATCACGAGAAAAAAACATGTAGTACCAAACATTATAAGAATCATGGCCGCCTCATGCGGCTCATTTCAATTATTTACTTGTATTAATATATATCCACCGATGTTAATAATACTCTGTATCTTTTAATCACCACAGAATTCGTTATAGTCATTAGTATTATCAACAATAATTTTATGTCCTTTTTTTTAATGAAAGCACGACTTTTCTGAACTTTTAATAAATATAATTAAATAAAACAAAATTTATTCATAAAAAACGAGTCCATATAAAATAATACTTCTTTATAAAAATAAATAAAGTTACACTTACTTGAAATTTTGCATAAATTTCACTAATACTATTGTACTAATAATAAATTTATATATAAATTAAATTTCCTATACATTAAAAAAATTGTGGACAGCCTGTGTATAACATAATTATTTTAACAATTTTATTATAAAGATATAATTTTTTTTAAAAAATACTTTAGTATATTTTCATTATAAGTTTCTATTATAGAAAAAATTCCCCAGCACTAAAGATATTTTTTTAAAAACCTATTACGAGCTTTATAATAAAAACTTTTCATCGATATATAAGTTTTCCAGCTCACTATTTTATTAAAACTTGCAGATGACTAGCAATTCTGGCCTGTCAAACGTTACATTGGCAGAAATTTGGGAACATTCTGATACAAATAAAGTATAAAGTTATTATTTATGAAAAAAACTATTTAGAAGGAAAGAAAACTTTAAAAACTTTTTTTTTTTCATTATTTGATAAAAAAATTTATTTATTAGTTTCACTAAATATTTTTATTTTGTTTAAGAATTTTTTAATAGTAATTGTAATATTCTATACGGAAAATTGACTTTTTTTTTGCAAATTATAATTATATAAAACTAATAAAAAAAATTTTTTCTTTAGTTTTTACAATATTTTTTAAAATACTTATTATTTCTTTTATAAATGTTATTATAATGGAAACTAGGCTTTTTCGTAACAGTTCTAATTTATGTTATCGATAATATTGATAAACTTCAACATTTTCTTTAAAAAATAATTTTTTTACATAAGAGATGAACTTTTAACTTTTTTTATAATTGTAAAATATTTTTAAAAAAATTACTATTATTCACTTATAAAATATTTATATAATAATACTCAATTATTTTTTTTAGTGTTTTGTTTTAAATTAATAAAGTAATATATTTTGTTTATTAAAAATGATGAGGGAAAAACTTTTTGTATTGTGTAGTATTAATTAGTTCTTTTTTATAGATTTAAATTATAAAATAATCAAAGCTTTTTCTAACAATTATTATTATAAAATAATAATTATTCTCAAGTTATACTTTGTATACTAAACTTTATGTCTTTATATATAAATATATTTAAAATATTATTTTTATAATTATTTTAATAATAAAAATTCACTCAAAACATTATATATATAAAAAGATTATTAGCAATAATTCGACTATTTCTATTAAATATAATTACTTATATTTAAATATTATTTAAAGAATTATACTTCATTTTCTTTTAACACAGAAAATACTAATGAATTAAAATATGTTTTTGCCCAGAACGGATATTTAAATGCTGATGAGTTTGTGACTGCAAGCCACTTGATCCGATTGGCTAAAGCCGGCCGTCCTCCTCCGTCCTCCTCCTCGAGGTCCTATAGGACTTCATCCCTATCTCTAGTAATATACCTTTCACTAAAATATATGTTTTTATTTTCATTATTATTTCCATTATTTTTCGTACTATTTTTTTAAGTATAAATACGAAGTCTATTAAGCAAAAAATGCACTTTATATATTAAAATAATGTACATCATTATAAATTTGTCATCTGAACATATTTTTAAATTCAAACTAATAATAACTTTTCTATCAATAATTATAATTAACTAAAGATAATGGAATAGCCAATAATTATTAATGTTTTATCATGATAATATCAACAGCCAATGAGCACACTAAAAAGTAAACAGTTAATAAAAAATGAAGAAAAGGTACTATAAACCATTTTGATTGCTTTTTTCATTATTATTATAATTATTACGTCCAAAAGCTTTTAAATATTTTTTAATAGTATTATTATTAATTATAATGAACAACTATAATTACTAACAACAGTATGAAACTTTGCTTTCTTTACGAATCGTAAACTTTTATTTTTATTATAATATTAATAATTATTTTTATTGGCTATATAGGAAAAATACAAAACTTTATTGACTATAAAAGTTAGAGTGACTTATTTTTTAATGATTACTAAAATTATTATTATTAATGACAGCAAACAATAATACTTGATAATATATGTTTTGTAAGAGTTCCGATTATAATAAATATAAAGAACTAACCGTAACGCGACAGCACCAACAAAAAAGAAATGAACCGCTAACACTGCTTCGCAGCACGGAAATGAGTTTTGAAGAAATAGAGAAACAAATAAGTATTATTTAAAAATAGAATTAATTTTTTTTGTAGTAAAAAGTACAATAAAAAGTAAAAAATAAATATAAAACAAAAAAATAATAATAATAATAAAATAAATAATTATCATAGAAAATCTGAGTGAAGCGGAAAAAGAATTGAAAAAGGAAATAGCCAATCGTGAGTCAGAACTGGAGCATCTTTTGCTGGAGGTTTAGTAGTTCACCGTAAAAATAAAATTTTAATGTGAAAAATTTTTTTTTGTGAAATCATTTTTTTGTTATCATTTCTTTTAAACGATTTTATATTTTTATATTTTTCATTAGAATATATTTATTTCTGTAATATTTATATACTTTTTTTTAAAGTTTTTTTACTTTTTAAAAAAAGTTATAATAAATCATTCTATTTATATTGAATTTACTTTTTTATAGTAAATATTATATTTCTTTTTTTATTATCATTTTAAAAAGTTGTTTCAGTATTTATATATATTTATTCATATTTATATTGTTAAAGTGAATTTGTACTTGTAATACTCTAAAGCTTATATATTCGTGTATAATAAATTCAATTTTTTTAATTTTTTTTTCGTATTCAAAAAAACTTTTATTATTAGAATTTAAATATTTTTATAATTGACTAAAAGTTTTCTAATATTTTTTATTAAAAACTTTTTATTCTTTAAATATAGATTAAAAACGTAATGTTAAAATATTTGTAGTACTTTTTTACTACTTTTAAAAAATAATTTCTGTTAGGTTCATTTCTTTTTTGATATAATTATATACAAGCTCTATTGCGTTAAGTAAATTATAAAAAACAAATTCTATTATTTTTTTTCCTTTCATCGTTTCTAAGTTTAATTTATAAATTTAAATTCTCTTTAGATAATTTTTATTGACAAAAAATTTTTATACAATCAATATTGTGCTTTGCAGATTGTAATAAATAAAAATCTGCTTTCTTTTAAATTTATAAAATTTATAAAAATATACTTATAATTATTAATTGCTTTCTCACTAAAGTTTTTTTTAGCTATATAATTTTTTATTTAAAAAAAATTATTATAAATTAGACAAACTTTTTTACATAAACCTAATTTTTTTAAAGGTTCGTGATTTGGAAAAAGAAGAGACCGAAGTTCAAAGTCGCTGGCGTGAAGTGGACCTCGAATATAAGCATCACATTTCCAGACTAGCCGAATTGGAAACAGAAAAAAAAGAGTACGAGCGTCTGTTATTGGATGTTCGCTCGGTTGATTTAAACAAATAAAATTAAAAAAATTAAAAAAAAATAATTTTTTATAACATAGAAAATTGAATCGGAGACTGCCGCTGTTAATCAGCTGAAAAAAGGTTTTTCTTGGAGATTTACTTTTTCAAAATTTAGAAAAACTATAAAATTTTGTTTAATTTTCTTTGAAGAGCTTTTGAATTACAGCACAAAAACCCAAAAGAAGGAGGATGAACTGCAGCGCTGTAAAATTCACTTGCAAGAGTTGGATCGTCGTCAAAGCCAAGTGCATTGTGCTCTTCTTTAGCATTAATATGATATTGCTAAATTTTAGTATAAATAGTTAGCGTATCAGATCGAAGTTAACTATAAAGAATTGGATCAACTCAATAACCAAATTGGTAACTTTGTACTTTTCTAGAGTAAATAAATAATATATTTGGTAGTTAACAAAAAATTCTATAGGAGTATTAATTAATTAATATTTCTTTAACTTTTTAAATA